AACGCTCAGCTTTTAATCTAATAATACTTTGAGGTTCCATAGCTTAGAAATATATCCAGTGGTCTGAAACAAAATGTTACAGTGATTAAGAGAAAAAATAATTAGGAGAATATCTGCATATGTTGTACTCTTTGCAACAAAGGAAAGTCCACCAAATCTTCGTCTGTACTCCATAATAGGATCGCTGAAACTTGTCATTATTAGCGTTGATTTCAACAGGTTCAGCTTCTTGTCACATAGGCATGAATTTATATGAGCTACATATGCACGTTGACATAGATTCTTCTCTGGACTAAGCTAAAATCAAAACTAATAATTGGTTTATAAGAACATAAGGATTCACAACAACCACCACCGCTGCTTTCCGCCATGATACTTCTTATCAATTAACCAAACTAGAATCACTTTCTTTTTCTGAGTACTTTTTTGTTTGTAATGAGGTATTTCTTGAATAGATAGTTCGGATTGTTGTTTTCGGTAGAATGATTCGCTGGAATTGACTTATGCAATCATCGTCAGAATTGATTTTAATAAATTTTGATTTGGAAGAAATAGAAAAAGAAGATGATTAAAAGAGGGACAAAAAGTAACGATTAACGTTTCCGTTTACTGTTTAACGTGGAGATTTTACGAGTACAATTTTATTCAGTCAAGTAAGATTTGAAGAATTAATTAGCGTACACAATATTTGGGGAATAAAACTGCCAATTTTAATTACTTGAGGAATTTAATGGTCATTTTCCCCTATAAATACAAACAAACTAGGTGTTTTACCCGCACATACGGACACAATTAGCTTTAAATTAATTTAAAAAAAATCATAAAAATAAATGATTATTTTCATCCAAAAAATTCAAACTAAAATATTAAACTTTTTTACATGATAAAGTTATTCACAAACTAAAAAAAAAATATATATTTTCCTTTAAAACTTGGAAAAAAAACTAAAGTCTATTTCATTTCTTCTTAATTGATAAAAATATATAAACTTATATTTCAATTTGATAAATTGAATTGATAAATATACATTCAAAAATTGATCTGACAGAAAGAATAATATTAGTTTGGATAATAATACAATATATTTGAATTTATTTTTGTCAAACACATATGTTCTGTCTTTTTAAACGTCTTTTATTTTATTATAATTAATTCATGTTTAATATTTAACTATATAAAATATAGAAATAAATTTAATTTAACGTGTGAGTTCAGAGACGAAAAATAACTTCACAAATAAATATCATTATATTATATTATTATATTCTCTTAATTTGAAAATAATTATGTATAAATTTTTCAACTTTCTCTTTTCAATTATATACAATTAAAATTTACTTTATGAATCTTTATTTATGTGTTTTCTGTTTTTTATTTTTATTAAAATATATTTTCCGGATAACAACACAATATATATACATTTTTAAAAAAATATATATTAAATAATTTTAAATCAAATAATATTTTTTCCAATTATATAAAATAAAGAAGTTGACTTGATTAATATTTACTTATGTATTTTCTATTTTTTTAATTGTTAATTTTTTTATCAGAATATATTTTCAGATAACATCACAATATATATCGGAATTATCTTATTTAAAAAGATATTATTTAAATTTTAGATAATTCTTATGATTATTATTAATTTTAATTACTTATCTAATCAAAATAATTTAAATTCCTTTTTATTTTGTATGTAATTTAGATATTAGTTTCATTAAGGGTATAAACGATATTAACCACTCTAACTTTTAACGTGGGAGCTTCGTTGAGAAAAATCACTTCGCAAATAATAGTATAGATAATTTCAAATCAAATAATATTTTTTTCAATTATATAAAATTAAGAAGTTGACTTGATTAATATTTACTTATGTATTTTCTATTGTTTTAATTGTTAACTTTTTTATCAGAATATATTTTTAGATAATATCACAATATATGTTGGAATTATCTTATTTAAAAATATATTATTTAGATTTTAGATAATTCTTATGATTATTATTAATTTTAGTTACTTATCTAATCAAAATAATTTAAATTCGTTGTATGTAATTTAGATATTAGTTTCATTAAGGGTATAAACGATATTTAACCGTTCTAACTTTTAACGTGGGAGTTCCGTTGAGAAAAATCACTTCGCAAATAATAGTATAAAATTTTCATGCACCACACCAACTTTCGTGTGTCTTGATGTCAAACATCTCAAACCAACTTTCGTGTTCAAACCTAGCTCTACATCCTCCCATTACATAAATCTTGTCATCATGGACACATGCTGACGCATAACATCTCTCCATGTTCATGTTAGGAAGATTACGCCACGTCTTACTCTTCCTCTCATAAACCCTAACTGTTTAGGTTTCACATAGAGACTGAACCATCGTGGAGATGGCAATGTGACGTGCTCGGTGGAGTACTTTAGACCGATGTAGAGGCATATCTCGGTGGTGCCCATTTGAGAACGTGCGGCGTAGAGATCTGTGGAAGAGAGGAGAGAGCGAAAGGTCTTGGAGACGAGGGAAGTTTTAGGGTAATAAGATTTTGGGAAGCAGTTCAAAGTGATGTCGTTTGGAAGTGAAGAAAAGGAGAGACATGGTTGATGGTGAAACGGCAGTGGTGGTTGTGGTGGTGGAAGCTTGGCCTTTTTCTGCGGTGGCGGCGGCGACCGCGGCTCAACTTCTTCTTCGGGGATCATTGTTGGTGGAATAAAGTAGTGGTGGAGAGAATATTCATGAAATTAAAACCTAAATCCCTTATATAATAAAAGATAGGCATTACACATAAATATAAACTATAGTTTTTATTAAATTAATTATAATTTTTTTTTATTAATCTAAAAATTTATTTTACATTCTTTATTTAAATAAAAACTACAGAATTGCCTAATATGATAAATGATTTTAAATAATAAAGATTTGATAACAATATTTATATCCTCAATCATTTTCCTTAAATCTTGATTATTAAAATATATTGCACAATTACATTAACCATTTAATAAATATTTCGATTTTCTCGTGTGTTTTAGTTTAAATTTTTAAAATATGAGTATAAATTAATAAACTGTTAAAAATTTCACATAAATTTGTGTGGTTAATTAATAGTTTAAATTTTTTGATATAAAACGAATAAATAATTAAAATTACATGAGTACTACGTGTTATATAATAGGTGTTTATATTAATATATGTTATATTTTATAGCGTTTAAATTAAACTATATGTCATATAAAAATACATACTTATATTATGATATTTGCTTTGAACAAATATTGAGAACTTGATATTTTAATTTTAGAATTGACAATGAATTGAAAAAAAAATTATAAATTACTATAAGTATTAAACTTCCCAAATTATAAATTTTATAAATGGTTTATTTTTTTATGTAAAGATGCTGATAATCATAAAATCATATGATTATGAATTTCATCTAATAAAACCATATTAAAATATATTATATATTTTTGTTGATATCATTTTAATTTAATTATGTATCATATACAACAGTTAAAATTGATTAGTTTAGTTATTATGATCGAGGTGTTCGAGAGATTACAAGAGGATTTTGAGGATGTGAGTTTGTCTCATATTCATCGGAGTATGAATGGTCGAGCGGACGCAAAGCAAAAGAAGCAAGAACCAGAAGTTACATATTTTCCCATATAGATCAGACATGTCCAGACGGAGGTGCTCCTCGGAGAATCGGCTCGTCTGACTACCACTTGATCTAACATAAATGGGCATCCGACAAAAAAAATATTTATTTACCATAAAACTATTGTCAATAAATAGAAGTAATCGTTTATTTTATATGTGTGCGTCAATTTAATTATATATGTAATAGTTACTGATTTCTCAATTAATCAATATATATTTATAATTTTATAATATGTAAAAACATAAAATAAGTAATAATACATAAATATAATTTATATATAAAATTTTTATTCTGCATAAGAGTCAGATCTTAACCTAGTGGAAAATGATTTGGTCAACACAATTAGCAAACTAATACCATATTAAAACATGTTTCCCATTTTAAATGCGATATTTTGGAGATATCGAAGTTACAATATATTTTAGATTTTGTTATGATAATTATATAGTGATTGGTTGGACTGTAACTAGAGAATTTAATCTGTATTTTTTATATAATTGTAACTAGTGCAAACTGTATAAATTAAATAAGATCATAGATAAAAAAAATATTCTTACAACAAGAATATACCATTTAAAAAGAAAAATTGTATGTAACTTTAAAAACTACTTAAAGCATAATTAGTAATTTATATAGTTATAGATAGGAATTAAAAATAAAGTCACTAAACATTCACCTCCTATATGTATATATATATAGTTGACCAAGAAAATAATATATACTGAGGAACTTATATAGAAAACAATATAAACCATACAAGGATTATAAAAAGTTTCTAAGTTTTGTAGATTTTGTTTATACAGAAACGTACGCATATGTATATATGTGCCACAAAACAACACCATTCCATATACTATATGATCAAAGCAGATATTGTTATTTTACCTCCCCAAAAAAGCATATATTGTTATAACGTAAAAGAACAAAAAAAAAGCTCGGCTTCTCGCAAGATCACGATATGACTTCAAAGTTGTTGTCTCTCTTGGATTCTGAACCTAATAGATATGACATGATGTAACAAATGTATCTGTATAATCACTCGAAATACATGTTCAATTTTTCAATAATATTCGTAGGTTCATCTGAAAATATAAACAAATAACTATACTATAACGTGTTAAACACAAATGCAACACACAAATGCCAATAAATAATCAGTGCCTATATAATTAAGCTTTATGATAATCTCACTTCACTTAAAACCATAAGCGACCACAAAAGGATCCTCAACTTGTATACCATAAAAACCATAAAAACCAATTTAGAAGATTGTCGCAAAAAACAAAATAGCATGTCCAAAGCCAAATAAACAACTCATACCATCTCTAAGAGTCATCAAACCGTCGCATCAACACAACAAAACCGTTCATATGATTCGACGGGAAAAGTAAGCACATCAACACACTCAACATTGCCCCACACCTCACGTCCATTGCATCTTGATTCTAAAGAAATCTTTGCATACCAAATTTTGTTGCTTCGTTCCATAGGCTCTAAGGGATACGGATCCCACATAACTAAAAGTTGGCCACCACAGTCAACCAGTTCAAACTCATACCCAATTTTATGACCTCCTGTAGGATGCTCACGGAGTTTTTCCAAACCCTTAATCTCTCTCCACTCTCTACCCTCAAACTCAGAGGCAGACCACATTAAGTTACCGGAGTCAGTGCAACCATATATTAAATTCCCCATCTCACACCAACCACGTACGGTATCTATGAAACCCGGTTTCTCTCTTACAAGTTTCCATATACCATTTTTCGGTTCGTAAGTGTAGTCCTTCTCATTTACCACTACGTATATTTTTCCTCCGAAGACATTAACTATATAATAGTACTCACTATACTCGCGTAAGTGATTACGTAACTCATCTTCATCAGCGCCAGGACCAGGCAAGGCTGACCAAGACTGACTTTTGATGTCGAATACCTCAATCCAGTTAGCATTGTACTCGTCAATATCGCAACCTCCTATCACATATATTTTCTCATCGAGTATAACTGTCTGAGCATTTTCTCTAGCCACGGTCATGTTATGGCCATCCCGCCAAGTGTGACTCCTACAGTCAAAGATCCGAACCGAGGAAGACGGTTCCTTGTGGCTTCCACCGATTATGTAGATGTCCGAATCAACCGTTACGATGTAACTTAGTTCGGGAAATGAATCGGTACAAGAGGACGGTATAGGAACAATCAAATATCCACTTGAGTCCGGCTTAAACCTAAGGCTAAACCAGCTCACACACGGATGATCGTGCAACTTTAACAAGAAATAGAGGCATGTTTCGTCGGCTCCTATTTGAGATCGCGTCTTGTAGATATCTTTAGATGATACGAGAGAGTGAAATCTCTTTGAGACAAGAGAGAGCGATGAGTAGTTCCATCTCGACACACGGGCAAGAATGTTCTCTGTGATTTCGTCTGGTAGTGATGAAAACGTCGACGGTGACTCAGGAACCGTCTTGTTCTTTTCGGTTGTTTCAACTTCTTCGGAAGTCATGATGATCAGCCGGCAGAAGTCGCAGTAGATGTTATGGAGAGAATATATAAATAAATAGTTAGGTTAACTAAAAGTTCACGCCTTAAGACTTATCAAAAAAAAATGCGTTAAGACTTTTTGGTATTTATACTTATACTAGGTGATTTTCCCGTGCTCATGCACGGGTATGAATATTCATAAAAGTAAAATTTTATAATAACTGACTGATATTTAGTTTTAGTTTTGAATAAACATATGCATAATTTATATTAATAAATATTATATTATTTTAATTATACATATGACTTTTGGATATATTATTATAGGTTTAATTATTTTTTGGATCAATAGTCGATTTGGTTATCAATTTGGTATATTGGATAATATCTATTTTCTAATTCAGCTATAATAAAACTTTGATTAATTTTCTTATTTTCATTTCGGTTGGTTATTGTCTTAGATATGTATTTATTTTTAGA